GCCGTTAATGTAATTAAGCCACGCAGAAAGCTATATTATTTATCAAAAGGCACCATCACCAGAAACATGGTGGAGAGGTCCAGTTGAGTGGATTGAATTAGTGGAGATAAAGCCTAGCAGATAGCTGCTGGCTAGGGCCACCTAATGTTTAATTTATACTGTTTCTGTTTGCACAGGCATTTAACTTTGGAAAGGGGTTTTCAGGCATTGCAGACAGGCTCCCATGCAATCCTCAAAAATCCCAACTGCATGATGCTTGAATGGTGGCTGGTTGACAAGTAAGCCAGTGTTCACCAAGAATGGGAGAACCACAAAAGACATCAAAGATGAAAAAATAAAAAAATACAGCATGAAAAGCATCGATGGTGACTGCGATGGAAACGTTCACTGTTTTTACTCTTTGTATGTTATGACTTGGCTCTTCACCATGACTGGCTGAAGGACCAGCGACAGCACAAGAGTGCCCCACAGACCCGTTGATTTTGGCACTGCCCCACATCTGAATACAGACACTCTGCAGAGAGACTGCCCACGTGCTACAGCCACTGGACCATAATTACTCCAGGAGTCAATACCTGTGCATTAGTTGTATCCTCAGTTGTGAATAACTTTAAGTACTAACAAGATTTAAACAGGTGAGTTATAAATAAATAACTAAATAACTAAAATCCATAGGCTACAAACTTGTAGCCTTGGAGTCTGTGGGCATGGACTCGCTTCCTGGAGTCACCCTAGAAAAGGCCATCCGAGGAAGTGCAGTTTTCCCCAGTTTAGCTTTTGTTTTGCACATCTTGAGGTTAAAGCTCTTTAAAAAATGTGATGTCAGACATTAAGTTTAATTCCGCGATTGTTCTCGAGTGTCTGACTTAGATTAGTGCAAAACTTAAAAAAAAAAAAAGAATCATCTGTCTCATAACCAGTGAAAAATGTTACTTTTTCTGTAGCCCACACATGCACACACACACACTTAAGTGGACGGGTAACAAACATTTATACATCCATAATTGAAGGTCAACAGTGCGTTACAAATAGATATTGAGAGGGAGTTTGTGTTTATGCTAATGCCTTGTCAGACAGAGAGGCCGGCGACTCTCTGACACCATCTATTAATAATGAGACAAGACTGCAGAAATGCACTGCGTATGAACCAAACAATGCTGCTCCTGAGAGCTGCCAGCAGGCTTGAGTGAGTGCTTTGGAATCGGCCTCAGTGTGCATGCATTCTTCTTCGGAGGAAGTGATGTGTGTGAGTGGATTTATTTGTTTATTGATGTTTGTGTTTTGTGTTTGTCTCACAGCAGTGGTCTTGTCTGGCCTGTTTGCAAACATGTTTGTACATGAGCGGCAACAAGCCTGCAGGAATGACTGGGTAATAGAAATGCAGCAAGAGGGGGAAGCCTGCCAAGAGATGCTGAGGCAAATGGTACCTCTAGACTAGAGCAAAGTTTAAGAGTGCTCCTGATGATCTCTGAATACAATGGTATGTGGCTTTTTTTTTTACTTGTTTTGAAGAGTTGAACCACAACCTCCCTTTAATTGTAGCTTATGTATTATTTGATCTAATTAATATGATCATATAAGAAGCAATCAGCCAGAAATTTCTGTCACATGGTGCTAAGTCGTTTCTGATTTTACTAGTTTATTGAACCTGCCAGATTTGGGGGGCGAAAATCGCATTATTTCCATGTTGTTGTTTGAGCTTAATGATTTTAAGCTCTAAAATCATTAAAAAATAAATAAAGAGAAGGGGAATCCGTGTTTCCGCTCCAGAATCGAACCAAATTGAACAACTGACACAGCATGAACCTTCGCTGTGAACAAACACAATATTTCGTTATTAAGAACTGGGAAGATGTGAGGCCACAGCTAGTCTGCACTAGTGTGCAAACAGAGTGGCAACATAAAGTGAAGTCCTGTTGAAAGTGATATCATTGTGCTTCCTATCCTGTCTGGATGAAGAGCTCGGAGTGAGGTCAGGGGAGTGTAGGGTGTAATTTCTTGAATAGGTTGGTGTGTGTCTGTCTGTCACGCTTGTTTGGGTGTCTTTGTGTTTGAGACAGTGTATGTGTACATCTCCATTTGTGTGTGTGTGTGTGTGTGGGTGGGTGTGGAGGATTAGCGTGCCTCTCCAGTCCTCTGGCTGTAATGAGACGGGACACTGGCTCCACGACGGCCCGTCGCCCACTGGGAGAGTACCTCTATCCCTTTTCAGTCTGTCATATGTGTTTGGCTACTGGTCTCAAGACTTTGGTTGCATATTAGGATTTAAAACAATGAATTCTGCTCACATCAGAGAGTCCTTTTATTTAAACAAATTTACCTTCCACCAGTGAGAGTGACGGAGAATTAGAGACGTTGGCCTCAGCTGTTGGACCTGACCCTACATACCATGCTGCATGTGTATGTTTTTTTCAGAGGAATCAGCTACTCTTCAAAAGTGGCGGTGAGTTGCTGAAGTGGTCTAAAAGTGAGAGTCCGGCACTGAAGGGGAAAGCTCCATCAGGCTCCATCAGGGTGATGGTTCTGAAGTTTATAGATAAACAGCCATCGCTGATCAGGTTAGTCTGAACCCTCTGACCCTGAACGGGCCTGTCTGCTGTTAGTTTGACCCATAACCTCTCCCTTTGTCTTTCAGACTCAACATGCAGGACAACCTCAAGCACACTCACTTACCCACGCACGCGCGCACACACACACACACTCCGACTTGGCCTCTTATCCTTGACAGCCCTTACGCTCATATTAAGATCTACTTCAGTGATTTCAGGGCTGTTTCAGCCATAAACTCTCATTTAGGGGGAAATTAGCTTGGCTTTGAGTCTTGTTACTATACCGTCCTTAACAGCATTACGCCATTCTTGTGGCTTTTAAATAACAACAAGGATGGATAGGACCATTCAAATAAACCTCTGCCATCCTACTTTGTTACACTACATGTAATGGCCAGGCATTCATTGTTTTACATTATTGTATTGCCATTGTGCTGTCCTCTTAGTGCCACACAGAGCTTACTGACTCTAATTAGTGACACTAACATATGTGGAAAAAATGGTTTAATGCGTCTGTCAACCTATTTTACAGTGATGTCTTTTCAATTTGTGAATACCAGAGGAAGCTGAACATGGTTTGGTAATGATGTTGGAGTTTCTTGAAAGCCACTTAGGACAAAATCCTACAGGCTTAGATACGCCCAAACCTTCAAAACGTGGAAAATGGACTGATCTAAGCTTGGGATTCCAGAGTAGCAGTTGTTTTGACTAGTGCCACGCTAGTCAGGACGGACTAAGCCTTGTCGCCCTTTACTGCCACAGAGACGGAGCACCGTCAGGCTCACAGAGACGAGCCATAATCAGCTTTACCAATTATGCTCCATCTCAGACCACTTATTCCACACAAAATGACATCACGAATGCTGGACATCACACAAATGCCTCTCGGAGCTCCGTGAGCGACTCCAGTGCACATTTATATTTTCAAACAAATAGTTCAGACTGTAATGAAAAAAGCTTCAAATAAGTCTTTGATGTCTTTTAAAAAAGCATTGCAACAGAAATCGCTGTGCACAGCTTTAACATGCGACCCAGCAGTCAGTAACTCTCATTGTTTAGTTGCTATACAAAAATGTAGCTCTGTAGGCCAAATGGGTGACATTTGAAAATGTCAGTCTTTTAACATGTGGTATCTTGATGTGTTTGTGTGTGTGTTGTTTACACTCTATGACTGTTGGAAACGACTGTTGGATGAGCAAATTTGGATAAGCAGAAAAAAATTAGTATGGGAGAGGGTTATAGCTCTGAAGCCTGTGTGTGTGTGTGTGTGTGTGTGTGTGTGTGTGTGTGT